TAATTTTTACAATCACATAAAAATTATTTCAAATAACTATAATTGGATGTGTATACTCAGCTAGTAAATGCAGAACACCAAAAAGTATTACTACTGCTTCATCAGACTGTGCTAATACAACTACAATCCCTTTTACTGATGTTTCAAGTTTGGCCTCAAGTGCCAAAACAGCCTATTGTTAAATCTTTTCAAAAGATTTACTAAGGGAATTCTGCACTTACGACGAATATAATGGATCCACCTAATCAGCTTGTGTAGCTGTGATACATATACAACATTACCCTCCGATGACACAGCTAAATAAACTTATTGTTTGAGTAAAATAAATGGCAGTGGATTTACAGCTGGTAACTCTGCATGTAGAGATTTCGATTGCTAGGATATTTAAAGTCCAACATCTTAAGTTAATTGTGACATTTTATCAAACTCATTAAAATGTGTTTAGTTTAGAGGAACTTGTGTAAAAAGTGAGGCTACCTGTGCAACTATTCCAGTTATTGGAACAATATCAGAAGATAAAAGATCCTACTGCTTAAATCTAGGAATTACAGATAAATGTACTTATGCAGCTGGTGCTAACTGTGCGAAGTAAGATGTATGCACTACATATGACGTGAAAATGCAACAGATAAACTAGTTGCATGTGTAGCTTTAACTTATGGGACGATTAAATGCACATTTATTCAAGGTACAAAGTGTACCACATAGGATACTTGCGATAAATATGATGGAACAACTACAACAGCACTTGGTCCGGAATCTGGTTAAGAAGAAACATAATGCAAAACAGTTAAATCAAAAACCAATCATCCATACATGAAAGATAGTGAAAAGAAATGCAAAAGCCTAGGCTTGTACTGATAATGACTCCAGTGCTACAGATTGTGCTAATAAGGCAGATAACTGTCTCTATTATACAAGTAAATGTATTGCTAAAGATACTTGTGCAAATTATGCAGTATAAGGTGATGATGATGCAGCAAAATAAATATGGTGTGAGGGAGTTTTAAATTCATCAGGAGATTTATGTGCTTGGGACTCTACAAATAAAAAATGTAAAGATAGAGTATGCAGTGATAAATAATTTTATACAGATTTTGAATTGTTAAAGTTACCTCAAGTCTTGTAAGAAAAATTGTTAAGCATGTGTTAGCACTTCTACTCAATGTAGCACAATTAATGGTTCGTCAGATTTCTGCTATGCTTTGTTAGATTAAACAGGAAAAGATAAATGCAAATCAATAGCTACTGTTACTACTGCATCTTCAGCATGTGCAAACAAAATATGTTATGACAATGTTACATCTACATCTGATTCTGAATGTGACTCATATTTAGCTGGATGTGTCCCACGTGGAACAGGTTGCATTCCAAATACAGAGCCTTGCATATTATATAGAGGGACTAAATAATAATGTGAATAATTCAAAAAATTCATTGGATTAGATGCTAATAAGAATCCAACATATAAATTTTGTTCTGTTAATGCAGGTAATACTGTCACTTGTAAAGTAACAACTTGTGCTGATAACACTATCACAAAGGGAACTGGAGGTGTTGATGCAACATCATGTAGTGCATTTAAAGGAGATTAAGCAACTTGTGTTAAATTCATGGGAAGTTCAGGAAAAGATTATTGTTGGAACACTTCAGCTGCATTAGCCACAGATACTTGTGCAAAGAAGAAATGCAGTGATATTACTGGTAAAAACAATAAGAAATGTAGTGATGGTCTGCCACCATTCAAGACTACAGATGACCCCTTCTGTGTCTACGATGGAACTGGATGTTTTGATTATGGAAAGAATAGCAGTACATTCAATGGAACTGAAGAAACATGCCCAACATATTTGGCTAAAGATGGTCCATGCAAAGCTACTACAGTTGGAACAATCAAAGGTATATGTGCTAAGAAAGTATGCATAGAAGCACCAAATACACTTGCATCTGATGCTGATTGTTAGAAATATCATAAGGATTGTGTAACTACTGGTTACGGATGCACTGCTACTAAATCCTGCAGCAATTTGACATCACAAGCTGCATGTAAATTAAGAGAAGAATGTACATGGGCAAATTAATGTACAGCTTCCATTACAACATGTGCCACTTATAACAATACTAGTTACTCTTAATGTACCAATTCTAAAGTTGATGGTAAGTTTTGTGCTTGGTAAGAATCTTATTCAACATGCAGAGCTCAAACATGTGAGGATTAATCGGTAACTATAGCTTCTCATGCTCAATGTTAAATCTTTGCTGCTAATTGCACTACATCAGGAGCTGGTTGTTTAACTATTTCAACTTGTGCATCATACAAAACTCAATCTGTCTGTTTAGCTGCTTCAACTTCTAAAGATGGAATAGGTAGATGTGGTTGGGACGCCGCAACAAATAAATGCAGAGCGAGAATTTGCGGTGACAAGAATGGTTTAACTGATGATGAATGTAATACTTTCCTTGCAGGATGCAAGACAAATGGATCAAGCTGTGTTGCTGGAGCTTCATGTACTGAATTTTCTAATAAATAATTCTGTATCAAATCTAACTATAGTCCATGCCTTTGGGTTAATGGATCATGTTATGATTATGACAGATGTGAAGATGCTATCAAAAAGACCCATACAGAATGTTAAGCATTCTCACCATTATGCACAACCAATGGAGATACATGTATTCCAATTACTAATTGTGCCAGCACAACATTAAAAGCCTCATGTGTTTTAGGAACTGATGGAGCTTGTGGATGGTTACCAACTGGAAAATGTTAGAAGTTCGGATAATGCACAGATGCTGTTGCTGCTACCAATGATGAATGTCTCTCATATGGACCAACATGTATTACTGATGGAACTGCTTGTATTGCCAAAGCCACTTGTGCTACCTACAAGACATAAACAGCTTGTAATAACCTTGGAACTGATGGTATCTGTTATTGGAATGCCACAGCTAATACTTGAAAGTTAAAGGAATGCGGAGATGAGTAAAAGGGTACAAATGACTAATGTAAACTGATTTCTGTGACAGGAGGATCATGCACAACTGATGGAACCAAATGTATTCCATTGTCAACTTGCTCAAGCTATGTTGAGGCTGGATGTTTCACAGGAACTGATGGAGAATGCATTTTTGCATTACAAATTGGGACCACAACAGGAACTAAGACTTGTAGATTAAAGTAATGTGAAGATATCACTGGAGGAACATCAAATGCTAATTGTATGGGTATTATTTCTGGAAAGGCTTGTGTGTCCAATGGAACAAGTTGCATCGCTAAGGCTGTTTGCTCAACATATAAGACGATAACATCTTGTAATTGAGGCGGCTTAGAAAATAATAAATCAACTGTTTGTGCTTTCACTCCTACAGGAACTGATAAGGTTAATGGAACATGCAAGACTTTTTCAGCATGTGTTGATGCTAGCAAAGATAAATTGGCTTGCACAACCAATCCATCGTGCAAATGGACTGAAAACTCAACAGGAACATCTTGTGCTAGTCATACATGTGATACCTTTGCCACAGGAACTGATTGTCAACCAATTCCAAGTTTCGATGGAGCCTCATCCACTGTTTGTGTTCTTTAAAGCGTAAAATGTGCTGCTGCTGACCCAGGAACCATGACTGATTCCAAGATTTGCTACACTAAATCAGCATACACTTATAGTTGGAACGCCATTTCTAATAAATGCGAAAGTTGTATTGCAGGATCTGTCACTCCAAATAATTCAAACGGTACTAACAATGAAACAGATAATGGAACAACTACCACCGATAGTGCTTACGTCTTGTCAGTTATTTCACTAGGTCTTTTAGGATTAATGGCATGATTTTGATTTTCATTTTATATAGTTTTGACCTAAATATTTTACATTATATATAGGGAAAATTATTATTAATCAAAAAATTGTCTTCATATCTTCTTAAAATTCTTTAAAATAAGGACAAATTCTAATTATTGATAGAAATTAAAACTTCATTAAGTTTTCATTACTCTATACAAAATTCAGTATTTTTTTGCTAATTTTAACTAAATAAGAGCTTCTCTAGACTGAAGTCAATATTCTAATCAAGATTTAAAGAAGGATTTCTGTTTTCATTACATAATTTTGCATCTTAAAAACATCAATCTTTAAAATTGAATTTATTCCCATTACCCTTTGAATATTTTGACTCAATTATTGCTAGTATTAGTTTTTGTTTTCTTATAAGATTTTAGTTCTTTAAATTACTTAAACAAAACCTGTTAAATTTTTAGGGAAATCACATTTACAAAACAAATAATTAATCATTATACCCTAAAATATTTATGTATATGTTGAACTCATATAATGATAATTGATATGATGTTATAACAGTTTATCTAATGTAAGTATTAGCTCCATTTTATATAAGTTCTACATCGAGCATCTTATTTACAACCAAAAGAACATTTAGAATCGTATAAATTAAATTATAATATATCCCAATTTCTATATTAAGATTGTCAGTTATTTCATTGAGAGAAAGGAGTTGGTTTTGAGGCTTTAAACAAGTATTATATGCAATGCATATTCTTTTGGACTTCACTTTGAAAAGCTTACAAGTCGNCTGCCTTTGGGTTAATGGATCATATTATGATTATGACAGATGTGAAGATGCTATAAAAAGACACATCCAGAATGTTAAGCATTCTCACCATTATGCACAACCAATGGAGATACATGTATTTCAATTACTAATTGAGCCAGCACAACATTAAAGGCTTCATGTGTTTAGGAACTGATGGAGCTTGTGGATGGTTACCAACTGGAAAATGTTAGAAGTTAGGATAATGCACAGATGCTGTTGCTGCTACCAATGATGAATGTCTCTCATATGGACAAACATGTATTACTAATGGAACTGCTTGTATTGCCAAAGCCACTTGTGCTACCTACAAGACATAAACAGCTTGCAATAACCTTTGAACAGATGGTATCTGTTATTGGAATGCCACAGCTAATACTTGTAAGTTAAAGGAATGCAGAGATGAGTAAAAGGGTACAAATGACTAATGTAAACTTATTTCTGTGACAGGAGGTGGATCATGCATAACTGATGGATCCAAATGTATTCCATTGTCAACTTGCTCAAGCTATGTTGAAGTTGGATGTTTCACAGGAACTGATGGAGAATGCATTTTTGCATTACCAATTGGAACCACAACAGGAACTAGGACTTATAGATTAAAGTAATGTGAAGATATCACTGGAGGAATATCAGATGCTAATTGTATGGGTATTATTTCTGGAAAGGCTGTTGTGTCCAATGGAACAAGTTGCATCGCTAAGGCTGCTTGCTCAACATATAAGACGATATCATCTTGTAATGGAGGTGGCTTAGAAAATAATAAATCAACTGTTTGTGCTTTCACTCCTACAGGAACTGATAAGGATAATGGAACATGCAAGACTTTTTCAGCATGTGCTGATGCTAGCATAGATAAATTGGCTTGCACAACCAATCCATCATGCAAATGGACTGAAAACTCAACAGGAACATCTTGTGCTAGTCATACATGTGATACCTTTGCCACAGGAACTAATTATCAACCAATTCCAAGTTTCGATGGAGCCTCATCCACTGTTTGTGTTCTTTAAAGCGGAAAATGCGCTGCTGCTGACCCAGGAACCATGACTGATCCCAAGATTTGCTACACTAAATCAGCATACACTTATAATTTGAACGCCCTTTCTAATAAATGCGAAAGTTGTATTGCAGGATCTGTCACTCCAAATAATTCAAACGGTACTAACAATGGAACAGATAATGGAACAACTACCACGGATAGTGCTTACGTCTTGTCAGTTATTTCACTAGGTCTTTTAGGATTAATGGCATGATTTTGATTTTCATTTTATAAATAGGGAAAATTATTATTAATGTAAAAATTACCTTCATATCTCCTAAAATTCTTTAAAATAAATCACAAAGGGAACTGGATGTGTTGATGCAACATCATGTAGTGCATTTAAAGGAGATTAAGCAACTTGTGTTAAATTCATGGGAAGTTCAGGAAAAGATTATTGTTGGAACACTTCAGCTGCATTAGCCACAGATACTTGTGCAAAGAAGAAATGCAGTGATATTACTGGTAAAAACAATAAGAAATGTAGTGATGGTCTGCCACCATTCAAGACTACAGATGACCCCTTCTGTGTCTACGATGGAACTGGATGTTTTGATTATGGAAAGAATAGCAGTACATTCAATGGAACTGAAGAAACATGCCCAACATATTTGGCTAAAGATGGTCCATGCAAAGCTACTACAGTTGGAACAATCAAAGGTACATGTGCTAAGAGAGTATGCACAGAAGCACCAAATGCACTTGCAACTGATGCTGATTGCTAGAAATATCATAAGGATTGTGTAACTACTGATTACGGATGCACAGCTACTAGATCCTGCACCAATTTGACATCACAAGCTGCATGTAAATTTAAAGAAGAATGTACATGGGCAAATTAATGTACAGCTTCCATTACAACATGTGCCACTTACTACAATACTAGTTACTCTTAATGTACCAATTCTAAAGTTAATGGTAAGTTTTGTGCTTGGTAAGAATCTAATCCAACATGCAGAGCCCAAAAATGTGAGGATTAATCGGTAAATATAGCTTCTCATGCTCAATGTTAAATCTTTGCTGATAATTGCACTACATCAAGAGCTGGTTG